CTGCGTCGTGAACTTGGTGGAAACCACGGGTGCTCACTAGTGCGAGGCGTGTGCTGCTGCATCACGTGTTTATGTGATTCCCAGGAAGCTGTTTCCTGCACAGGCCATCCATCAGTGATAATAATTCTGTCCGCTCTGCAGAGTTTTATGAGGATTTAACTCACACACTCATATGTATTGAAGCTCTGTGGTACATGGCAAACATTCAGGAAATGCTTCATATTATTAGTATAATTATATAAAAATTGACTTTTTTACATAAAATATAAGTATTGACATTTTTGCAAATAATATATGTATCCCCATAGCAACAGCATAAGCGAGGTGCTCTGACAGAGGGGAATCGCCCACAAATATTGCCTCTCAGAAGTATATTCCCGAGTAATCATAGGACTCGGCCGGCTGGCATTAGGGCGATTTGGGTGGGGCCTCCGGAAGTCTCCCGGTTAAAGGGTGCAGGTTGAAAGGAGTGAACGGTGGGGAATGAATGTCAGAAGAGGAGCCAGAAGATCTGAGGAAGGAGTGGGCAGACCGGTGGGAGGAGAGAGAAGGAACTGTGAGAGGAGATGAATACTTGATACCGGGGATGGAGGGGAGTTGCAGAGCTGGAAAGAGGGATGGGGTGAAGGGCAGGAGGCTGCAGGCTTTGGGGGGGAAGGCTGTGGGAGACAGAGCGGGACGGGCATTAGGGTTCCAGGAGTGCGAGCTGGGAACCAAGGTCATCGCGCTCCAGTATCTGAGAGCCCCTCGCGAGGAAGCGGGGCTCATGTAGTTCTCTCTGCACCAGAGGTGAGGCTGTAGGGGGCGGGCCTAGGGCCAACACGGATGACAAACTGAACCTGAAGACATGAGCCTGGGTAGGCCAGCTTTTTATTCCTTTGTGCGGCTGGTTTCTCTGCTGGAACAGTCATAGAAACACACAGAGAGAAGTCGTTTTGAGGAGCTAATCAGCATCATTATTGGGAGGGGAAATCTTTCCAGTATTTCCCCCTCCCTTTAAGATTCAAATTGCAAACCCCATCCTTCCGTCTTCCCTGAGCCGTCGTGGAGTTCCCGTGGGCGATTCTGTCGTCATCAGACAGGTGACAGTCCTCGAGCCGATGGGCTCAACAAGGGCCGGGAGAGGCTGCCAAGGAAAAGTAGCCGAGCAGCCCTCTCACATGCACCTTGGACCGTGGCGAGGAGGGTTGGATCGTGGCAAGAGTTTTATTAACCGGAAAATGGCTTCTCGCTGTTACGTGCTTTTTCACGTAGTGCAGTTAGGGCACACTCGGTTTTTCGGGACTTGTGCCCGCCCACACGTAGTGTTCACCGTCACGAAATCGTGAAGAGCAAATATGTGTACGTGTCGTAGCACAGGTATCCATGACGTGACAGGAACACCCAGTGACAGATTGTGTAAAAGAACGAGACCGTGCCCGAAGGAGGGGAAATGCCACGCGAAGCTCAGATTTTATACGTAAACTTTGGCAAAGAGCTGCAGCAATTTACCGTTTTCTTTGCATCAGTCACGGGGCGCAAGAGGACGTTTCTAAGCAAACCGTAATCTCTGGAATTCTGCAGAAAGGCTCTTGTTAACTTTAGGCTCTTTGCAGGATGTCGCTGCATTGTGGGAGCAATGCAGACCACCTCCGTCCGTCCTTTCTCCCTCAGCATCAAAGGGAGGTTGAGTATGTCAGGGACTCTGCGCAAAACAAGAGGAAGACACTTCGAGGCTCATGGACATTTCTCTCTCTCTTGCTGTATGTGTTGGGATGCATATTGTTTTTCATTTTGGGATACGTCTGTTATTTCTTTTTGTTTGGTGTTTCTTCTTAGTGTATGATAGGAATATGTCCCTTTCAGCAGGATCACAGCATAACCCGGTGCTGAATTCTGTTTGCTACCTGAGAACGTTACTCTGTTTATACCTTGTCATCTGGATAAGAATTAAACCCTACAATTTTGAAATGAATCCATTTTTATTTAACGGGTTTACTGAATGAGAGAGTGTGGAGAAAAGATACGTGTTTATCCAGATGCAGAAAATAAAGGGTTGCTTTTATGTTGGAAGTGACACTGCAGAACCAGTTTCCCATGAAACTTTGCAGGCATGGAAGCGTCTGAGGTTTTAACCGAGTTCACAGTGACACGTACCCTGGAGGTGTAATTCCAGCCTTAGAGCAGTGACAGCTAATAAACTGCTTATTACTGCTGAACAATCGATGGAAAAACTGGGTTCTTTCCAGGTAGAATCATGTTCCCATGACTTGTAATTGAGCAGGTGTCCCGGGCGTTGGTGACTTCTGATGCCGGCGGTTGATTATGCTCATGTCACATCCAGGCCTCTTCGTGCATTTGGCGCCAGGACTGAACTCGCACAGTGTCCCTCTTGTCATTTAAACGTACCGTTTCTGTGGTTTCCTATTTGTCCTTTTTTTAGGATACACGCACCTCTCAGACAGCATTGCTGAAGGAGCCGGGGAAAGGGAGTCCTCAGACAGAATGCCATGCGAGGTCCCCCGGCTCGGGGGTTACCTGACCAGCCTTATCGAGGTGGTCAGAGACCAGTCTTGTAGACGAGGGAGCCAGGCTGCTGCCTATGGCGTGGGGATGTCTGGCTGTAGTATCCAATTCCTTTGTCAAGAGAAAACTCAATTTTCCTGGGCAGTTCATATAACATAGAATTTGAGCACAATTCTAAGAATGCAGTTTTTTTTTTCAACTCAGATTGAGTTCAAATTGACTCCAGGTTTGGAAAGTAAACATGGCAGATTGCCTTATTTGGGCAGGTTGCTTACCGCGTCTGAGGTCCATTTTACTCGCCCAATACATATCGAAGCTTACCACTGGTCAGGCATTCTTCTGTCCAGTTCTCATTTAAACTCCACCCCCCCCACACCCCCCTTTAGGAAATAGATTGGGAAACGGGCTTCCAAGGTTACAAACCTGCCCTCAGCTGTGCAGCAAGCAAGTGGCAGAACAGGGCTCGACCCAGATCTCTGGTCCAAACTTCAAGCTCTTCGCTTCTGCGCCAATGGTTCCAACCCCCCAGCCTTACCCGGAGGGCCAGACGACACACACTGCTGGGCCCCGGGGGTTCTGGTTCTGAGGGCCGCCTGCAGGTCCAGGAAGGTTATTTCCAACCAGTCCCCAGGTGCTGATGCTGCCGGCTGTGAGGACAGACTGACTGGTTCCTCTGGAGCGGACAGGAGACAGTTCACTTATCCTGCTTGTATGAATCACCATTTATTGGCCGTTACCATGTCCTAGGGCAGTGGTCGGCAAACTGCGGCTCGAGAGCCACATGCGGCTCTTTGGCCCCTTGAGTGTGGCTCTTCCACAAAATACCGACTTCTGCGCGCATGGGCCACGAAGTTTCAATCGCACTGTATGTGCGCACCCGCACGTGGTGTTTTGTGGAAGAGCCACACTCAGGGGGCCAAAGAGCCGCATGTGGCTCGCGAGCCGCAGTTTGCCGACCACTGTCCTAGAGCAATCCCCTCCTCTCCTCCCATTCACGCTGGAGGCAGGTAAAGTGTGGGGACAGGGCCGTGTGCTCCCCACCTGCAGAAGGAAGCTGAGGTCCAGAGAGGAGTCAGGGAGGGGTCTCACCTGGAGCGAGTCAGTGGCTGCACTGGCTTTGAAGGTCAAGGCTCTGGAGCCGTCTTCAGAGCGGACTTCATGCAAAGGGAAGACCAAGAGGAGAGACGCTTCCTTTCTTCCATGCGTGGGGCGTGGGTCCTGGGAGGAGGGCTGCTGCGGGCGGGCCTGGGAGGAAGGGTTCCCTCGTTCCGCTGTCCTCCCAGCATCCTGAGGGAAATGGCGCAGTTTGCTATTCTGATGAGTGATGTGATTCTGCAAGTGGCACTTGTTTCGGTTGGGCCACGAGAGAGTTGATACTCACTTACTTGCATGGATTAGAGCAGCTGTTCTCAACCTGTGGGTCACGACCCCTTTGGCGGTCGAATGACCCTTTCACAGGGGTTGCCTAAGACCATCCTGCATATCAGATATTTACATTACAATTCATAACAGTAGCAACATTACAGTTATGAAGTAGCAACGAAAATAATTTTATGGTTGTGTCACAACATGAGGAACTGTTTTAAAGGACCAGAAGGTTGAGAACTACTGGATGAGAGGGTCCCAGGTGATTTCGCAGGTGGGAGCCATGCTGGGTGCTAGCACGTGACGTTAGAAGCTGTGTCCACTGCCGCTGGTCACTCCACAACAGGACGTCACTGGTCTGTGGTGTGAGCTGCTCCAAAGCCCAGGGGAGTCTCGGAAACCAGATGAAGGGAGAGGGGAAACCAGCCACAGTTGAGTCTGGAACCTGCCCTCTCTTCGGAAACTGGTTTCCCACTGGTTTTACAGCTTAAAGAGAAGATACTAGACAGTTTCAAAGGGGAGACCACATTGATGTGTAAATACTTTGTGTGTCTCTGAAATTCATAAAAAATATTAAGGAAACTTTTGTTCAATGACTGTTACATACAAGATACTTACAAAAATAAGGTATTTGTGTCTCCTCTCAAGAACTCCTAGTGGACCTCACCATCGAGTGTTCAGTACCATAACTTAGCTAAGAGCATCCAAGCCTGAGGTCGGTGTGGCAGGCAGGTGTCTGTCCTGGAGGTGCTGGCAGGATGACTGCAGATCGGGCGGGTTTCTCTTTGGGAGGGGATGGGAGGGGATGGGTGGCTGCTGAACTGTGAGCCGGAGAGAGCGGGGCCGCCCCGGGCTCCCAGCTGGAGTGCTCCTGGTGTAGCCTTATTGGTTTGTTGTGGACAGGAATCTCCCAGTGTTGAGCTGTGAACTTTCTAAAGGGTGTTACGACTTATTGCTACTTTTTTGGATGTTCTCCTGTTTTTTTCTTTAAGATTTCAAACCAGTGGTGCAAACTCTGGAAACAGCAGAACTGAGAGGAGATGCAGCGTGGACACGCGTGGGGCTGGGGCTGGATTTGGACGTGCGGTTGGATGGGAAAAGTCACTGTGCATTGTCCTGGTTTCCTGCAGGTTGACGAAGCCCTTGTCGTTTGCTGACTGTGTTGGGGATGAGCTGCCATGGGGCTGGGAAGCCGGGTTTGACCCCCAGATTGGTGTCTACTACATCGACCACATCAACAGTAAGTGTTCCTTTGAGGGAGAAGCGGCTGTATGGGAAAGAGCTCCCCCACTCCTCCCCGCCTGCCCCATCCGGAGCCACGCAAAAGAGGAGACCGTTCACAGCCCCCCCCCCCCCCCCCCCCCCCCCCCATCCGGAGCCACGCAAAAGAGGGGACCGTTCACAGAGTGGTTTCTTTATGTCAGCCCCCACTCTCTCATGACTGATATTCAACGGGACGTCCAATTTGGAGTTTGGGGCATGTGTGTAGAGTTGGGATTATGGGGGCAGAGAAAGAAAGGTGTCGTCTGTCTGTCTGTCTGTCTGTCTGCCTGCCCAGCAGGGAGTGAGTTTTCCTCAGTGCAGGGCTGGTGGCCTCTTGTCATGACCACCGCCCCTTCAGCCTGGGCTCCTCCTCTGGTCCTCGCCATGGCCCGAGGTGGTGCTGGCACGGTACGGTCTAATGGCGCAGCTCTGTGTGTGTGTGAGGGTGTGTGTGTGTGTGTGTGTGTGTGTGAGAGAGTGAGTGTGTGTGAGGGTGTGAGTATTGTGTGTGTGGGTGTGTGTGTGTATGTATGTGTGTGAGGGTGTGCGTGTGAACTCCAGCGGCTGGAGGCCCTGGGTGTGCGGCTGGCGGGGTTGGCGAGGCTTCGGGTCTCCCGGTGAGCCCACGCGAGGCTCCAGTAAAAGCCGGGTTGGGGTGAAGGTCGCCCTCCAGTGATTCCCACCGAAAGGAGGCGCTCCCCTGGGAGACAACCAAGGTCAGATAGTAAGACGACGCTCACCCCAGCCGGGCATCCGAGGAGGTGACTGTCGAGAAGCGTAGCTGGTGAAGGTCCGCCTGCCCCGGGCACGCAGGCAGCACTGTGGTCCCTGAGCTGTGCCAGCAGGGCTGAGGGCCAGGCATGGCCGGGCTCGCAGGGAGAGGTGTGTCGGTTTCCCGTGAAACGCGGTGCTCCTGGCGGGAACAGCTCCACGCAGAGGGTTCAGCACAAACACAGGTGCCGCGTGTCCGTTCTGCCTCCGCTCCTTTTATATGATCAGGAGAAATGTCACTTTGTTATAGAGACGTTATCTCTCCCTAAAAGCTTCTGCAGATTCCATGAAGGATTCATAATTGTGAGCTTTAAAGTTAGCTTTTATTCTTGTATTTGTAATAACCCTTTCATGATACTATGTTATTGATTATTAATGACTGACATCCAAATGTTTTAATGATATGGTGGAAGGGGCTAATTTTGTTAAAATTAAGTTCATTTTAACTGATCATAATTCATTTTTATGTCATTGCAAATAAACAAAGCAATGGAATGTCCGAAATGTATAACTATTTAATCTCACTTTTATACTTATTTTCTATCTATAAAAATTTAGCTTTTTTCCCCCCTTAAATAATTTGGGAAACCAGGAACAAACCTACCTGTCTTGGTTCAACAGAAATAAGCTCTGTGGCACCAAAATTCGAAAATTCATTCCCTCCTATCCCTCCACCACCTACGTACAGACCTGGTTTCTGAGCCCCCCTCCGGGCTTTCTCTTCTGTGTCAGTAGAAGAGGTGTCCTTCCCCCCACACCCCAGACCCCTCTTAGTAACTTTATATCCCAGCCTCCTCTCCTCCTTGGTATCCTTACCAATTATTTCCCGGTCTTGACATTTTCTCCACCATTTCTATATTCCTATTTTTAGTGGTTGTTTTGTCTTAGTATTTAAACACTGGAAACTCTCAACATAAAACCAAAACAAATAAAACAACCCCTCCTCTTCCTCCCTCCCTCCCTACCTCCCTCCCTCCCTGCCTCCCGCTCACTCACACTCAAAACCATCTTTCAACCAGATGCCTTGGCCACTGGGGTCCTCTCTTTCCCCTTTGCCGTGAAACTTGCTGGAAGCCACCTCTGCGGGGACTTCACTGCGTCCGTCGTCCACCCTCCTTTCACAGAAACTGCTCCTGCCAAGGTCCCCGAGCCCCACAGACAATGAGGTCCGGTCCCACCGTAGTCTCGTCTTCCTGGATCTGACGTCCCCAGCACTCTGGCTCCTACTGCTTGGATTTCTTGGCGCCGGTGTTGGCATTATTTTACCTAGCTGGCTGTCCCTCCTCACCTGTGCCTGGGGTGGGACTTCTGGAGCCGTCTCTGCTTGCAACCTGCACATCTCCTTGGGCGATGACTCCGGTCTTCCTGAGGCTGATGCTGACGAGCTGGTCTCTGAGGTGTTGCCCAGAGGACAGGTGCATCTGATGCCTCTGTAAGGCTCTGTGCAGTCCTCTTCCCTCAGGCCTGCATGTCCCTCTCCCGCCCGGCCCTGCCCGCCCCACTGGCCTGGAACAGAGGGCACGCGGCTGTGCCCTGTGCCTCCTTGGCCTTCCTTTCATTGGTTGGTTTTAGACCCAAGCACTGTCTGCCCAGCCCCTGGGCCCTCCCTCTTGGCCAACTGCCTCGTCCCTCTGGGGTCCGCCTGCCCAGGCCCCGCTGCTTCCCGAAGGTCCCTCTAGTACTCAACCCTCCACCTCGCAGGTCCCCACCTGCTTCTCATTGAGGTGCTATAGTACCAGTTCCTTAGGGATTTTTAAAAGTCTCTCCTCATATTGGTTTAAATGACCTATTTGTGTGTTTCCCTCACTAAATTTTGTGAGCGTCTGGAGGCCAGTGGCTGCATCTTTCTTTATCCGTGGGGCCCTGGTGTAATGATAACCTCTTGCATGTTAGAGGGAGAAAGAGCTTATCGTTTCACTCACAGATGAAAAGCCTCTTGTTTGTTTTTGAAGACATTAAAGTGCATTTCAAGTATAACTTGTGCTTCGGGAAGCACCATTCGGAGTATTTAAAACCTTAATTATCAGAATATCAGCTTCTAGGTCCCCCATGTTGCTTTAGTGCAGTGACGGTATCCCAGTGGCCTGAGGGACTTACTGGCCCTGAAGGGCCCAGATTACGCACAGGCAGTCGTTCTCCCACTAATAGGACCTGCTCCATCAGCTCATTAATCTTACAGACAGTCGGGGAGCGGCGAGGGAGCAAACGGTGTTATCGTCTCGTAACAGCTGTCCACACATATGTTGTGTCTTGACATTGTATAGTTTCAGCATTATTTTCTCTTTATTTTAATAAAAAATGAAATAGAGAACGTTTGGCTGTTTACTGCTATTTCTATGTACCACCATTAAATATCTGTAAGTAAAAGATTTGACCTTGGCAGTGATAGTGTAATAGGCTTGTGTTTTATGATGGAGTTTGCTTTTGAGTGGGAGAGGATGTGGAGTGGGTATAGATATTGGTGGGGGAGGTTAACTAACCAGAAGGTAATCATGAAATACTGTTTGTAAGGTTTTGATATTATTACTAAAATCAGAAGTAAATAGCTTTTTGGTAAGGTCAGAGTTCTACCCTCATTTTTTGTCTTTTCTTTAGTAATTGTGGTCTCATTTACATATAAGAAAATGCACAGATTTTAAGTGTGTTTTTCAGTGAAATTGGACAAATGCCGTTCTAGTTAACATACCGAATGTGCTCACGACCTCAGTAAGTTCTTTCCATTGCCCACCCCCTCCAGTGTGGCCAGGTGTTCTAATTCTGTCATCACAGCTTAGTTTTACCTGGCCTAGCGCTTCATGCAAATGCAGTGTGTTTGATTTTGTGAATAGAGTCTTCACACGATGAAATGTGTTTGATTTTGTGAATGGAGTCTTCACGCAATGTACTTTAAAGGATATACTACTGAATACAATATCCTGGTTGAATATTTACAGTACACATATCTGACAAAGAACCCAGACCCGGAACGGATGACTGACTCCTGAAAATCAACATTAAAAAGACAACCCAACCTAAAAATGGGCAACAAACCTAGACACTCCCTCAACTCTCCTCTCGGTCATCTCCCCCTCCTTTCTGCTCCCCCGCAGCCTCTTTTCTGGTGTCTGGCTCATACTCGGAGGCCCAGCCCGCCACACTCCTCACTGCCTCCCAGGGCTGCGGATAAGCCGCCCGCCATGTGGATAATTCGCCCACCATGCGGTCCTCCTGTGAGCCCCGAGTTCCCTCCTCAAGCCCCTGGCGTATTATGACTCTGTAGAGCCTGGCTCTGAGTGTTTTCCGTCCTCTGTCTGCGGTTTTGGGGTGTTGTCAAGTGGGAGAGCTTGGTGGTGTGTGCCTCCTCATCACCCCCAACTAGCTCCCTTGTGTTAGTGTCAAAGCAGGAGGAGGGTCAGGCTTGATGAATCCTCCAGTGTAGATGACGCTCTTTGTGGAGTTGTTTCCCTTAGCCCAGGGGTGGGGGGTGTATGAAACCCGAGAAATCATTTGGTCTGGCCCTGCGGTTGCCTTGGCGAAATTCCACAAATCTAGGAGCTTTTTTCATAGCAACGTACGTTTATACTAAGCGAATGAAGTTACAAATATCCAAATGGCCCTTGGCAGAGAAAAAGGTTCCCCACCCCTGCTCTAGAGGAAAGAAAATACATTAGGGGCCTGTCTATTTCATCTCTGTCTTATTTCATCCTTTATATTTTCCTAGGAGGATAACCTGTTAAGGTATTTTATAAAGAAAAAATTTACAGCTGGTGGTGATGACTAACCGTTGTTAGTGGTATCACTCCTGTGTGAATGTTCACAAATTTCACGGCTTGTCAAAGTCGGGGACTCTTCTCAGTGGCCCCTGTTCCTTCCGCCGGGTGTGGAGGTGACACAGGCAGCCACGCCTTCGCCTGGAACCTGCCCTCTTCCTACTTCACACCCTGTGTCCTGTCACTCCCCGTAGGTGTGCCCTCCCCCTCTCGCCGCTGCCCTTCACCCGCAGCAGGGCTCCCCCGGCCCTGACTACGCACAGGACTTTCCCGTCTGGATTCTGGCTCTGATTCTCCGGGTGTCTTGGCAGACATTGTGGTCAAAACTTCAAAACAAACAGATGCAAAATGGGGTTCTTCAGTTTTCCCTTTGATGGTATGATTTGTTTTGAAATGTTATAATCCTCATGGTTACTGACTTGAAAAATGTAGAACCATCTTGTCAATCCTTGATGAT